AATCTGCCACAAAGTATTAAAAACTTGGGCAATGATACTAAAAAGTTTAAATCAGAGTTAAAGAATTATCTACATGCTCATTCCTTCTACTCTTTAGATGAATACTTCAATGTAAATAGAGAATGATGTAAAATTAAGTTATATTAATTTTTAAGCTAAAATTGCCTGTACTTATGTATGTAACCTTTTGACTTGTTCTGTATCCAAATGTACTAACCTGCTTAGGATTTATAGAATGTAAATAAATTCAATTCAAAATTCAGGATAGGGACCAGTGGAGGGCTCTTGTGAACACAGTAATGAAGCTTAGGGTTCTACAAAAGGTTGGAAAATTCTTGAGTGGCTGCAGAATTGGCAGCTTCTCAAGAAGGGCTCAGCTGCATAAGTAAGTTTAATATCACTTCACCCATATTCTTTCGGTTGGATTTGAGTGAAGTTCTATTAAACTTGGTCCCCCACCCCCTTTCCAAAAAAAAATAACAGTGGAATATGATCCTCTGTAGCTCTGGAGTACAAGAGATTAGGTTGCAAATTATTTATCTGAAGAAAGTTTGTCACCAGTTTCTGGAAAGTCATACCCTTTCTTTCACATGAAACACCTCTTTAACCAAAGGCACTGAACATTGTGAACTGTGACATACATGGAATACTTGTATTTAGGAAAGCTGAAGGTGGGGAAATTTTTAAAAAAAAAATCTGTTTCCATCAGAGATACATATATTAACCCTCATAATTTCCTCATAACTTACACCTGAAAGCCATATAGAACACAGTTTTTCGGTTACATTTAAGTATTATAAATCATATATCGTAAGAAACAATACTCATGTTCCCATTTATTATTATATTCATTAGAATGATGGAATTCGAGAATGTGAAATACACTCGTCAACAAGATTAAGACTGCATTTAATGATAAAAGAAAATCTGATATATTCATCTTCACCAGTTCAGTAATGGAAAGGATTATATGGCAAAAGTAACACATCTTACAAAAAAATGTAATGAATACTGAAAACCTGGTATCGATTCATATACCGGTTCAGTAACGGAAAGGATTATATGGCAAAAGTAACATATCTTACAATAAAAAAGGTAATGAATACTGACAATCTGGTATCTCATCAACTTCCACTTCAGTATTGGATACGATTATATAGAAAAAATGAATACTATATGGTAAAGAAATGCAATTACTATTGAAAATCTTATGTTCGTGTTCTCCAGTCCAGTACAGGCAAAAGCAAGAGAAGGAATACACCTATAACAACAGAAGTGAATAACAATGTAACGAAAATGAAATAGGTAAAGAAATTACATACATAGTCCTACCCACATTCAATCCTGATACTGATTCTGCTTCTCAGAGTTTCACACTGAGGTGGATAACCTGAACTTTGCAAGTCAATTATAAAGTAATGCCTCTTCATTCTTACCTACACATAAACAAGACCCATGTGTGTCAGAAAACAATTTCCCATACACTCGATTGAAATATAATTTCTTGAAGATAAAGGTCAGAATGAACTCTGACCCAGTGAAGTTCTAATATTCTGAGACGAAGGAAACATGTTTGCAAAGAGGGGAAGAGATGGAGCTCAAGTTCAAAATAAGTTTCATGTATGTATGTAATCAAACAGTGGTTGACCATGTTATCATTCACTGCAACATGTTTGCAAAGCGGGAAAGAGATGGAGCTCAAGTTCAAAGTAGGTTTCTTGTGTGTAATTGAACTGTGGATGCCGATGTTATCATTCGCTGCACAGTAGTTTCTGTTGCTGCACTGCAACTGCTTGTCACCAGGGATACTTTCTCCAACTTATGAAACATTTAATGATGCTCATGTGACTAGTTGGCACTCATATTCTTCCAGTGATTTCATAACTGCTTTGTCAATTTCCAGGGCTGGTATGGGCAGGACATTATAAGGGAAAAATGAAGAAGCATCACTTTCCTAATGACTTACCAATGAGACAGTATCTTCATCTTCCTCTCTGTGGTCCTCTGCCTGGCTGCTTCAGTCATCAACCTGTTTCTTCGCTTACACCATCAAGGAATGTAAATTCATGTGAGACATCTCACAATACTATCTACTATTCTTTGGTGGTGAAGCGAACAGCCAGAACACCTAATCCACTCGAAGTCAATGGTGCTATTGATGGCAGCTGTGATATGCTGCTCCACTGAATTCAAGTGGGCAGCCTCTGTCATTATAGACTCCATCAGAGTTACAGCAGTACCAACAGTCTCCACAAGCTTCTCAGAAGGATATGTGAGAGACTGTTCTGTATCACTGCACTCCTTGAAATATATGAAGACATTGGCTGATAGCAGCATTTCAGATGTCTTGCATACATCACAGCTGACACCGCGAAGCACCTGTCTGGCAATGGAACCACTGACATAAGCTACTGAGAACACTTCCATGTCACCAGCAGGTACTGCAGGACTCATATCCATCTGTACTTGCTGAGCAACATGGAACCTCTCAGGCACAGTAGCAGGGGTTTCCTTGTCATGACGTGTGGAAGGATTTCGTGAAGCAGCTTCAGGTGCCCTGAAAAGTGACTGTAGATTATCCAGAAGAGTAGACCATCATCCTCACAATTAGTTTCCCCCAGTCCTCTAAATGCAAGGCCATTGATGATGCTAGTCTTCATGGCATCTACAAACTGTCCCACAGTTGGGTTATTGTTTGAACCACAGTTCAAATGAATAGCTCCAAATGTGTTCTCCAGGGGGTCCTGATTCAGGTTTTTGGTGTGAAGGTGCTGAAAACCTGCCTCTTTCAGTGTCTTCCACACATGCTGGGCAGCAGTGATGTCAATCAGCCACCCTTTCTGTGAAGGAGGAGGATGAAGAAAGGCGGGTTTACCATCCTTGAGGAAGATCCAACTCTTTATCCCCATACTTGCCTTTTTCCAGAGCTCTATATGGGGACTCTTGTCTCTGAGTGGGCAACGCAGTGTTTTCCTTCGGCCAACACTTGTTCCACCATTGAAACTATCGAAGAGGTTGCCAACCTCCTCAACAAACACAGCTGTTGCCATGTATTCGCTGCTGCACCACCTGAATGGGGGGAAACAGAAGTTAGTGCGCCTCCTTACGTGGTGAATTACAGTTTCTTTACATTGGAAAATAACACATTACTTTACAAAGGACTAATGTTATACAAAACTTGTACATTTCATTACATTCTTCCTCATATTAAAATCTTTGCCACCTAATTCACCTTAATCATATCACTGATAGTGTCGTCTGCTTTTCAAATATTTTTTAATTATCCTAAAAACAGTATTTGTGACATATTCTACATAACTTGTATATTGATACAGTTTCAGAAGTCAATTCAAATCAGATGATAATGACATTTGTTTGATTACGACTGGGTTCTGAGGCAGTAACTTTGAAAACTAGTCCTCATTATTAGTCACTTCATTCATAATAGAAACATATAGTGTTTACCTGTAGCCACTAGAGCATTGAGGCTTGCTGCAACAGTATGGCTCATGACCTGTGCAGCCAAGCGCACATTCATCGAGCTCTCTGCTGTGGGGTTCAGGTGGGTGTCTGTCAGCCTGTACAACTGGTGAACCGTCTGGGTTTGTCGATTTCATACAGTTTCAATATGTGGTCCCACTTAGCAACAACAGGAAGTTGGGTGCCCAAATGCTCAGACTTCAACTGCACATCATGTTTCAGGAAAAGGTTTCGGGTGCACTTCAGGTGGTGGGGAGGATCATACACTGTTGCAATTTCTTGATTGCAAAATCTGAAGAGTGGTTTCCTTTTGGAAGCACCCAACAGTTTCAAGGCCTTGACATTGTTGGCACCCATGTCACACACAGTGGCAACCGCCTTCAGGCCAGCATTTAAGTCCCAATTTGCTGGTAAAAAGATTCTTCTTCGTGCTAAATGCAGCTTTTGCCATGACAATCCTAGATTTAATTTCACAAGTACACCTTCCATCATCTGTTAACAAGTCACCCAAATATTTAAAACATTTCACATTCTCCAGTTGTTTTTGGTCTATCTTTATTGTGACTGGGGTTGGTTGTCTCGAAATTTTCATTACTTTTGTTTTTTCCACATTCATTTCCATGCCATAGCACCTTCCAATTTCGATTAGTCTATCTATCATACCCTGTAGCACAGTTTCTTCCTTAGCCACTAACACAAGGTCATCTGCATATTTCACAGTCTGAATAATTTGACCTCCTAATTTGAAGTCTCCGAGCCCACCCAGAGCTTCCTTGGTAAGGCATTTGCTGTACAAGTTGAACAAAATTGGTGATAAACAGCATCCTTGTCAAACTCCTCTTCCAATCTTCACACTACTTGTCTCGCCTCTGTCCAGTCGCACTCTAACTTTCTGATCCATGTACAATTTAGTAATCAATCTTCTTTCACGCCAATTGATACTTGTTTCCTTTAGGATCTGCATTAATTTGGTCCAATTTACACGGTCAAATGCCTTCTGCCAGTCTATAAAGCAAGCACACAGTTCTTCATCTATCTCCAAAGTTCATTCTGCTATAATTCTCATCATCCCAATTGCATCCCTGGTTCCTTTTCCTCTTCTAAATCCAAACTGGTCCTCTCCAAGTATATCCTCTATTTTCCTTTCAATTCTTCTTTTATATCCAACAAAATTTATTTCAAAGCCAACCGTGACTTTAACAGTATATGAATGAACAAAGCATTTTTACGTCAAGACATCTGATCTGTTCACATAAGGAAAAAACCTCAGTATGACAATTCAGTCAACATAAGTTGGTCCTTTTCAGTCATGCATGCAGCTCACATTCATATATCACAGCTGGTTTCATTAAAACTGAATAACCAAAGACAGACTTTCATCCAAAGTCAGAAGCAGAAAATGTTGAAAATCAATTATTTTGTATGGTTCTAGAATATCTCTATATAAATTACATGCAATAGAAATCTGACCTCTACACACAAACCAAAACAGGCCAAGAAGAAATATGATCAGTTCACTGATAGGGAAAGTATTAATACACATTTGCTACCAAACAGGCTGGTCTCATGATAATGTTCTAGACTTGTATTTGGAAGGTGATCACTCTTAATCTGGCTGGTATACCAGCCGCCCCAACTGAAGCTTTTTGTGATTTTCCTCATTCCCACCAGGCAAATTCTTGGATAGTACCCTCGATTAGGCTATATTCATTCCTTCCAAATCTTTTCCAGTTTATCATTCATCTATCATCTTATGATCTGACACTATACAATCTCAATACTGAGAGCATTATTAAGTAACACATGAACTGAAAAAAAATATAGAGCCATTAAAACATTCAGTCAATTAAGAAACCAAGACACACCGCATAATTTACTGGCACAGGGACTCCGATCAGGCTTGCCATTAGTGGTGCAACATCTACCTGACTAACATCACTGCGAGACAAATGTCCCAGTCTCCAGGAAGCTGGACAGGAAGGTTCAGCGCTTGTAGTCAGTCGGGGTCCTGTCACACCTGTACCCCAGGCAACCAAGGGTGTGTCTGTCTCATTCTTATCACCTGCTCCATGGGAATCTACAAACACACATAAAATTGCCAGCACCTCCAGGATAAATTCAAGGAATGTGCGAGATCGAAACTGCTGACAAACATTCATCAGTTTACTTATCTGTTATTTACTTAAAGTTCAGAATGCAGAGCATTACATTATATGATGATTCCTGAATAATGAAGAGACTAAATTAAAATTAAAAGGTTTTGAGGAGTTCGAATTAGTATACAGGTAATAGTCCAGAACCTCCTGAACCACACAATGTTACATAATCTTGAAACTGACAGCACTGTCATAACCCACCCCCATAAATCAGAAAGGACAGAACAAGGGCATCGAGATGGGCACCATATCTCAAATTTTATGGAAAGAGACCTAATGGATAACCCACAAAGAGAGAGGTTAGCTAGATTTGAAAAATTGGAAGAAGAGAGGAAAGAGCTGGCACAAGATCAAAAAGCAAAGGTGGTGGGGAAAACAGAAAAGGTTGGAGACTTCTTGCCCATTGACAGGGAGAAGAAGGAAATGATACTTGAGGATGAAGAAAATATCCAATTTAGTCATTTTTTTTAGAGTGTTGTATTTCAGCACATCTACCAATTTAGGATCTGCCATCCTTGGTGCATTTATGTTTTCCTTACATTTGAGGAGATTATCCATTCCTGAATTCTTACAATGATACCTTGTATAGAAAGCAGATAATGCATTCCTCACCCCAGTCTGTCATGTCATGATCAGATGTGAATATGTAACCTGTCTTCCTGTCATGTTGATAAAACTCTTCGATCATTTCCTCAATTCTCTCGATTCCTGCATCAACAACTCTTTATGTTCTCCTCGTAGTCTCTGTTTCAAAACAAGAAACAATGCAAATATAGGGGGAAAATTGTAAAGATATGTTCTACAGATATCAATCATAGGAAAAAATGTGAAACTTAATGGAAACGGGACAGAGGCAAAAACAGACTGAAGAAGTCTTCTGAATCTCGTCTTCTTGACTGTGTCACGATGCAGTCTTGCAGGCAGATACTGATATTGTGGGGGGGAAATGTTTCCAGCTTCAGCTCCAAAAATGTAGGCAACATGAAATTGAGCCCTTCTTGAGAAGCTTTCAATTGTGCAGCTACTCAAGAGCTTCCCAGCATTTTATGGAACCTGAATGTTCATTACTGTGTTCACAAGAGGACTTCACTGGTCCCTGTGCATTTTTCTGAAATGTCAGTATCAGCCGACAAGGCTATAAGGTGTCACAACCCAGAATACCAAAATCTGAACATTCACTGCCATAAAAATCTCAAAATCTATATATATACATGGAAGGACAATAATAAATTGTTAATTTATAATATTTCCATAACAGGAGTGCTACTAGAACCCAGTGTTCAACATTACATACAACAGTACATAGTTGTCTTTCTAGGTAACAAGGCGGACTGATGGATGACAGATTTAAATCATATACTCTATACTGCATCACAAGGAAAGGCAGGTACCTGCGCTACAGGTGGCTGCAAGATCTACTAAATGAAGGGTGAATATATGTACACTGCAAGTATGTTTTTGAGTAACTTATAAGCATGGTCAATTTCCTTTGAAATTTTTGATCACTGAATTAGCATTTCAGATGCCCGCATACAGGATAACTTGCAGTTTACTGTACTTACCGACAGACCAGTGACTGCCCATGGAGTGGCAAACTACTAATTTTTGGCAAGACCGAATCACCATCACGCCCACAACAGCTTTGGAACCTGCAAGCTATCTACTATCTAACACATACCAAAGGCTGAAAGGGCAAAGTAACTGGAGTATGACTCAAAACATTCATTTCTGTAACACTTACACTGAATATGGTTTATCTGTATGAAAAGCTGTATCAAGTCCAAGAAGATGTAGGAAAAATACAATTTTATCTTGATTAAGTTTTTAATTAAGAACAGCATCTGTCTTGGCACGGTTCAGAAATTCCTCAACCTTCCTGAACACCCATGTATCAAGCCTTGTTGTGGATCTTCTTCCAGAGTAATCTTCAACTTCAAAGCCATACATGTCTATATAAACATGGTTTCCACTTGCACCTGAACAAAAATATGAAAGGTTTATCTCACTGTTAACTAACAATGCTTCTGAGACATAGAAGGCTGCTTTGGTGAAACAGCCATACTACATCTGTAAGATGCTTCTAAGTTGCACTTAGATTGTGTTAGTCATTTCATCTTCTTATCCACAAATGGCAACATTATGCTCCTGTGGTATTTCTATTACCAAAAATTACTATAAATTTATTACCACATACCAAGGAAGATCTAAAAATAAGGTAACAATGCAATTGCAGGGACTTGCTGCCATTTACATGTTGCAGCAAGGGTAGGCAGAGTTACATTTAAAGAAGTCTTCAAGGGTGACATTTGAGGTTCTCACCGTGGTGGATATTAAAATTGCTGTTTCCTGCAACGTGTAGTTTGGTAGATAGAAATCAACATTTTGGACATAAACCTGCTCCTTCCATCTTAGGGATACCCAAAACTTCACTCCTTCTTTACCAAACTACATAAGATTACATCCTTACATAACCTTAATCTTATGTCTTCAGAGAAATAAAGATAAGTACTTCGATACATTACATATTAAAACAATAAACCTTTGGCAAACATGGGAAGTATGTCAGGACTTCCCCAGGACCATGTGTACCAATTTTCATTGAAAACAGAGTCAAATTCTACTGGATTGTCTTTCCAAACCTAGAAAAAATAAAATATCATAAATAAAGAATAAAAAGTAATAAAACAAAAGGACAGACAACATACAACCATAAATACTTTCTTTTTTAACCATACAGTGAATGGCTTGCAGTATGACTGTATTTACGGGCGTAACATGAAAGATAAAACATACTATTTCAAGAATGTTCTGGATTGTTCCTGGAGAATTGTTGGGCAAAAGTGTACTCTTTGTTAGATCTGAGTTTCTCGGATTGGTGACTATGAGGAGAACTCTCTTTTGAGATGTGACACTATGTACTCCATTAAAAGTTTACTGACATTTCACAAGAATGTGCTGCTTCCATCTTCAGGGTCAAGAAGTAAACTGAACAAGTAAACAAGCAAGTAAATTTTCTACTGTTTGCTTGGCTTACTCATTGACCCTGAACATATAGGCACTACATTCCTCCAAAAAATGGCTAAACTTCTACCAGATGAACAATATTACATCCTAGAATCCAACACTTTTCAAGTATATTTTTTCTTTACACACAGTAAACAGTAGGCAACAATGTAAGATTGTTGTCACAGTGGTGAATGTTTGAATTTTGGTCTTTTGGAATTTGACAGTACATTACTGTAGAAGGTTACCAATGTTTTGGAGGAACCTGCTGCTGTCCCCTTTTGGGTCGACGAGATTGGGGAAACATGCCTTGCCCAGACAACCTTGCCTCAATCCTTTAGATTGAGGCAGCATGTTCCTTTGAATTAATCCACAATTAAAGAACTAATGACTATGCCAACCTGCATGGTCAAAATACCATGACCCTAGTATCCACCTATAGGAATATATGGAATCACAACCTAGAAAATGCAGTGACTTAACAATATATTGACTGTGTACACATGTCACAGGATTTGAAGTTTATTAACAGTTACTGCATCTAACATGCAATTCCAGTATATTCAAACCTCATAAACCGTCCAAGAATTTAGGTTCTATTTAAAATTACTAACCCTAAGTTAAACCAGTCTAACTTACTTGAAGCAACTGTGAGCCTGTTTTAAAGACACACTCAATTCTGACATAGAAAGTTAATTAAAAATTATAAGAATAAAATCACTCATCGCAACAATTTATAACCTTGGCTACAGCAGATGGGTCCTCATATAATCCAGCAATTAATGCCACATGTCCAGGGTGTGATTCTGTTGGTACTCTGGTATGAGAGACGCACCATGCTGCCCTCTCCTGTAACCAGTCAAGTTATCAAAAAATTTAGGTTATGTTCATTAACTATAACACAATAACGTTCTAACTTCTCTGCTGCTGCATACCTGAAGTGTGAGGCATTCGCTTTAAATAAATCATCTGCCCCAAAAAAGGAATCAGCACGTAAACCATCAGCAACCATTAAAACAAGCCTGCGTGCAGGAGCTTCTAGAAGACTGGACTGTGGTTTAATGGCAAGAACTACTGGCGATTTGAAATAAATACCAAATACAGATACTAAAAATGCAATATGAACAAAGAAACTACTAATGATGAGAAACATTGTCGAGAATATGCGTTCAAAATGCCCATTAAACCAATCTTTTCCAGGACACGATAACAAACGGGATATGCATACAAAAGTAAAGTATGTCTCTATTTCAGAGGGAGGACGAGAGCCAGAAAATTAAATGGACAGAGAAACTGGTTTCTAATTGAAACAAACTCAAAACTTGTATAGTGTCAATTTGAAAAAAAAAAATGGTGGAAGAATAAACTGGCATCATAATCATAACATCAACATGATGCACATAGACCCAGAAAGAGAAGATTTTACATGTCATGGACTACATATAAGAAACTCAGGTAAAGACAAGCTAGTAATGCTACTAATTAAAAAAACTGAAATGCAGCTGCAGGAAATACAAATTGGAATGCGGATTAGTCTAACATGGAAGGACGACGGAACAATAATCTCAGCTGATGATCAGGGAATAGCCATTGTAGTGTCACAAACTATTCCCCCTAGAAGACGCTGGAAGATCCCAAATACGAGAAGTGAGGATTTTCTATGGGAATAACTTAAAATGGAAACAATAGTCAGCAGAATTCTCTTGTCATATATCATCAAAATATAAGAAGCATTAGAAATAAAAAATAAGAATTAGCTATTTTTTTAAATGATGTATATAATAATCCTGATATTTTATGTATTAGTGAGCGTCATTTGAGTGCAGATGAGCTATCCATATTCTTCATGACAAAATATAAAATGGCAACAGGTTTTTCATGTAATATGTCTAAAAATGGAGGAGTTTGTATATTAGTTAAGAATAATATAACATATGAAGAGCTAGATCTTAATAAGTTAAGTAGGGAGAAGGTTGTCGAAGCCTGTGAGGTGAACATAATTATAAGTAATAAGAAATTAGGTATTTTATGTCTCTACAGAATACCAGATGGGGACATCAGCCAATTTATTAAGCAGCTGGATGCTACACTTTCATATTTAGTAAGCCTTAAGTTGGAACTGATAATTTGTGGTGATACAAATATAAATTCCCTTAATGAAAACCATAAAAAATACAGTTACAATCCTTATTAGATACTTATAATCTAGCTCAAATAATTGACTGTCTGACTAAAATAGGTCCCACTTCTGTCACACTCACAGATCATTTCTTCTTAGATAAGAATGTCTTCAATAAATTTCAAACCCATTCCACAATAAATGGGTTTTCAGACCATGATGGACAAATCTTAGTACTTGAAAATTTACAGGTGTTAAAGAAAAGGGACCATGCAAGAGCATTTAGGGATATCAATGATGAGAACATATCATATTTCCAATGGGCACTACAAAATGAAAATTGGGAAGCAGTGTATGATCAAGAGAACATTAATATGAAATTTAATAAATTTCATAATACCTTCTTAACAACTTTAGAAAACAGCTTTCCCTTGTGTACAAAAAAAGAAATACACCAATAAATGGATAACCAAAGGTATACGAAGATCTTGTAATCAATTCAATTCAATTCAATTTTATTTCATCCATGAATCATTATACATGATATGGGACAAGTCAAAGATTAATATTAATACTAATACTAAATAGTAATAGGAATATAATAATACAGAAATAGAATGCCAAATTATAATAAATGATAATAATAATAATA